AGTACAAAATATTCAAATAAAACTCCCAAAGTTCAGAGCAAAGAAGATTCTGGAACTGGAGGAAAGTGGTACTGAAGAAGGACGAAAAACTGTGAAATCAGTGGCTCTCCTCTCCTCCATCGTTTCACTGCGCCATACAGTTCATATGTGAAACGCTGCTCAACATGATTTTGAGCACATGAGCTGATGAACTCCAGCACCACATCCAATACACACACACACATACATATACACACACACAAAACTTTCATCCAACCAGTACAGACATCTCCACTAACCATCTTATAAGGAGTGCATACACATTCTGAGGGTGGGTGTGTGCATCTACGAACTTGTCCTGTTGCAAAAGAAGTGATGTCCAATGGAATTTCCAATATGGCATGAAATAAGATCCATTGGGCAGCGGCGCGCTCACCAAACCCGATCCCCCAACACTGTAATTTATATTATACTCAATAACCTAAATCTTCAGCTTAAGTAAAGGAATAGCTCCTCATTTTAATAGGTATTAACAAAAATATATTCTATGTGAACTGTAGCAGTCTCTGGGAACACACATGAACAAAACCCATCATGACAACAAAATAAAAAAGCTAGAATAAATAAAATGCAAAACTCAAAATTTACAAGGAAGGTATGCATGATGTTCAGATAATTATAATAATATAGGCATCACAATGTTTGAAATGTTCCATATGACTCCGTAAATCACATAACAGAGACTGGTACATGGTGAAACAATATATAAAAAAAAGTCCTTAATCATTTGCGCTTTAATTTTATACCACTTTTAAAATCTTAAAAAATATCTCTTGAAAAAGGAAAAGTTCTCCCCTGGACCTGACATAGAAAATATTACTTGTGGTTTGTTCTCTGAGGCTGAGAAACAATCCTCTCTTTGTACACAACTGGCAAAAGAAAAAAAGAAAACACCCCCCTATACTTATTTGCTATCTCTCTAGGCGGGTCCATTTTCAAAGCATTTATGATGAAAAACACTAAATTCATCCTTGTGGTTCAAAAAAAAAAAAGCTAACACTGTCTCTGGTGGGGTTTTGTGAAATTCGTGATAACTATATGATGTCTAAAGGGTTATTCATGTTAATGCCAAGGTCCTGGCCACTAGGGGGTGGCATATCATTAGCTCCAGGTCCGTGGAGTCCTGCCAAGCCACTGAGCTGAGATAGCATGGCGTTCTGATCTGCACCAAATCCACTTGGGTCCTTAGAGTTGTGCTGCGGCTGTTGGGGAGGTGGAGGAGGTGGAGCCATGCCTGAGTGATGCTGCTGAAGGTGGCTGGGATGCGGAGAACCCATTTGGGTCTGAGGTGAGATGTGGTGGGGCGAGGGCTGTGGTTGCAGGCGCGGGGACGGACTTGAGTGAGGTGGCTGGGACTGGGGTCGTGGGGAGGGCTGAGGGGAACAGACCTGGTTGCTGAGGGAGGATGGGAGCTGTTGGCCCTGCAAGTGGGGTGACTGAGACATCTGATGCGGGCTCATGGGGTTGTTCTGCTGTGCCGGCGAGGTGCCACTGAGATGTTGCTGCTGTTGAAGCAGACGCTGATGCAAAGCCTGTTGCAATAATGCCTGTGATGTCTGAAGACTGGGACCTCCTTGTGTGGGCTGCGGACCTCCTCCGTGCCCCACGTCGGGACCTTGTGATGCTGCATTCTGCTGCTGTTGCATCTTTAGATGGTGTTGCTGTGCAAGCCTCTGTTGCAGGACAGCTGCAGCTTGCTGTTGCGCAGGGTTGCCTGGAAAACTCTGCTGCTGGCCAGGTTGCACACCTTGTAGTGGTTGACCTCCTGGCGGGACTTGCATGTTACCCTGCTGACCCACGTAACCTTGCTGCTGTTGGAATGCTGCGTGATTACTCATTTGTTGCTGCTGCTGCTGTTGTTGCTGCTGCTGCTGAAACTGTAGTTGCTGTTGCCTTCTCATGACCAGATCTCTGAACTGTGGATTCATGTTGGCCATGTTTGGAGCCCCCTGACCCTGAATTCCTTGCTGTTGCTGCTGTTGTTGTTGTTGTTGCTGCTGCAAGGCAGCTACTTGCTGCTGCTGCAAGGCAGCTACTTGCTGCTGCTGCTGCTGCTGCAAGGCAGCTACTTGCTGCTGCTGC